ATTCGTTTATTATGTCCTTCACAATCTTCTTTCTGCCTTTTCAGAATCGACATTTGCTATTCTCCTGTTTCTCATCTCTTTTCGTCCTTACTATTTGCAGAGATTCTGTTTCTCATTTTAAGTGTTCTCTCCGCAACCACACCACTATCATTTAGCCTACAATACTCATTGTTTGTTTTGGGATCGTTTAGTTTTTATTTATTTTGAATTTAAACAAAATCAGTTTCAATTCGAATGTAATGGCGATCCTAAAAGCGTAATTAAAAAAAATATAATTCTGCTTTATGTACCATACATCCTCAGGATTTTTCTTGCTTTCATTGTATTTCCCGAGTGTCAAATTCTCCAGGCACTCTCTCCTCGTTGTCGCCTACTCATGTTCTAACTCTTCACGTATTTATGCATTTATTTACATGATCTGTTATTAGTGGCATTAATGCATGCTAACTTTATAGACTTTATGTAGTATATTGCCACAGCCTCACCACATAAGGTGTTGCTGTTCCGGTTTCCAAAGCATGCACACGCAACCAATTTTGAATTCAGTAGTGACTTTCTCATACATTGGATGCCAACCAAAGCTACTCTGCTATTTAACTTGTCCCAAGGGTGTTTGTGATAAATTGAATGCAGTGACCTCAGCTGGATTTGAGCCCGACACGCCAATCCTACTTTTTGCGCCAACAGCCGTTATGTGCTCATGCGTTATTAATATATTTATTAATATATTTTGCTGTCAGAATGAATCATTTCCAATAACACTAAATTTGCGGCAATCATCATTCGTCAAAAAGCTATAACGAACAAACAAATGAAAAATAAAGGAAAACTAATTCATCATTTTGTTTGATAGCGCCTCCCGCTCTTTCCGTCAGTTTCGCTTTCATTTGCCGACTTGTCGGCCATTTTTATATTTTATTCTTAATTAGGCGCCATTATCGAGGCGATCGCGCATAGCAGGCTAACAATTCCCGCCATACGTACACGTTTTTCCAGCGCTATGTTACTATCATGAAGCCCAAAAAACGTCAAGAAAAACGATGTAAACCTTTCCTATTGAACCCAAATATTCCCCATAGTCATTTTCATTTTCAGGTTTTCCAAATTAAAAAGAAAATCATTTCTCTCTTTTTCTCCACTTCTTCTACATTCATTTTTTCTTTCTTTCTGCTCTCTTTCTTTCTCTCTCTCCCCGTCTTTGCCTCTCTCCATACCCCACACACTATCTCTTCGCATACTTCAGCAGTGCCGTGGTCTGGAGACTTCTAATTCTTACCCGAATCCCTAAATCATCCAAATCTCGTTTCCAGTACTTCGGTACAATTTCTAGTGCGCCACTCACTACTGGAACGACCTTAACTTTCTTTACTTTACAGCTTACTTACCTCGTTGGTTACTTTCTGCTATATCCCCCAAACTTTTCACTTTCTTTCGTCATCACTTTCTGATATGAGTTGAATTTGATCCCAGGTCACATAATTAGTGCATTAAGCAATAATTGATCTACCAATTTCATCTCAATGACTTCTTTAAGCATTTCACCTCAAGCACGTCGAGAGAGCCACTTCCCAGCAGGGAGTTACAGAGAATGAAAGTGAGGAAAAAGACTGTGTATAGAGGGGGTAGAGGAAAGGATAAAAGAAGAACGGGGATCACAGAAACAGAGGATGGCGATTGACGTTGCATTTCAATTTTTGAAGATTATATTTATCAGGGAAGCAAGTAAGAGGAAGGGAGTTCCACTGTCGGGAAGTGTTAGAAAAGAAATTGCTTGAGTAGAAGTGGCGTTTGCATTTAACTATTTCCATGGTAACAGGGTGGGACCTAGATGCAGTCGGGGGCATCAGGGAAGATAGCTCATCAGAACCGTTGCCATGAAAATATTTGAAGAAAATGCAGAGCAAAGCCACATCATGAGAGAGTGACTTACAAGTCCAGTTCATTAATTCATAGTAATTACATCATCCTCACCCAAACAGAAAAGCACAGTTACCAGAAATTTATTCCTTCATATTCTATCACTAGATAACTAAACCAAAGTCTTATTACTGGCATGTCACAAACATTCATGAGAAGAAAGGATGTAAGTGGATGCATGCAACTTGTAGAAAGAATAGTATCAAAATAGCAGCAAAACCTATTTTCATTGAAAAGAGAGAAGTATATGCACACTAGCAGATTATATTATGAACAGGTACATAGGCCCTTTGCGTTATGGTGTAGTAGATATTGGCTCAGAATGAGAACTCGGAGAACCGGGTTCGAATTCAAGTCGCGTTCGTTATATTCACTTACGGACCTTGTGAAAGGTATAAATTGATCTTTTCTCCTCCAACTATGGGTTGAATAGCAGGAGAGACTGGGTTCTTTACCTTTGCTTAGCAACCATTCTACCACAGAAAGAAATGGCAATCTATTGCAGGAAAAATGTTCTGCCTTGTCAGTCATGTATCGAAATATACGTGTGGCACTTAACTGATATAGGCTCTTGTATTAAAATAGAAAATAATTTATTAAAGCGAAAATATATTGAAAATGCTCTAATTTCGGAATCTCCCTGAGTAAATTTACGCCCAGAATCATAGTACGTATCTTCTTTTTACTCAGATCTAATGCTGATACAGAACGCGATATTTAAGGACAATAGCAATAAAAACAAAATTCAAATCCAAAGACAGAAAAGGCAAAATGTGATCATGTTAGTTTATGCATCTAGATAAACCGGTTGTTAATTATTTTTTTAATTAAATTTAAAGCAAGTTACTTGTATATAAGTAACTTGTCACTCGTCATTTGTCCATATTGATCAACTGGAAACCGTATAAAGTTTCTACATTTCTCAAATATCATTTGCTGCATGGCGTTGCCACGAGTGCTTAGATTCATTAAGTGGGTGGTATCGACCATCCTACTGGAATTGATGGAAAGGTCTAAGGGAGCGGCGAGAAAAAAAAATGGTCGATATACGGTTAGTTAGTGTCGTATTAGAACCAAGCAGTATTTTACTTCTTTTTTTTTCCTCAAAATACATATGATAAAATCTAATTCAATTCCACTCTAAGGAACTTAATAAAGAATAAAATTAACATAACAATTAAAACGCCTATTTTTATTTTATTTTGTTGTCCGAACTTCAAAGAACAAGCATAGCTTTGTATCTTTCTGATGTTATCTGAACAGGACATGCTACACACCAGCCAGATCAGAGGTCAATGCTCTTGGTTAATAAGTGTAGCGATACAGCCACGGATGTTCTTCCGGTGACATCGTATCTGCTGGCATCTAAGAAAAGTCGAAATGAATGTGTTCTCAGTGATAGATTATTTATTTGAATTTGTTAGATACCTAATATCAACAAAAAAGTGTCATCATATAGGAGTCGGAGAAGGGCTCTAGAGATGTGTCATGCGGTATATCTTCTTTTATGTTCAGTGTCCCTTCAGGACGTAGGCGATCATGATCCTCCACATCTTCCCGTCCCTTTTAGTTCTTAATAAGTTTTGTCTTTGTAATTTCTCACAAACGCCGTTCTGTTATGCATTTTCTCAAGCTCATCAAGTACGTTATGCTCTGTCCCTCTTTCTCTCAATCAGCCCTGTGAGTATCAGATTTTCCAAGCCCTCTTTCCTCATTACGTGTTGCAGAAATCTTCTTCCTGATGTTAAGCATAAGTTTTCTTTTAGTTTCCATTTTCTTCAAAACCACGTTGTTACGCACGTGTTCGGTCCATGGTAACTTCAGCATCTTTCTGTAGAACCACATTTCTGTTGCTTCGTCTCTTCTTCATCTTTGGGGAGATTCATTTATCAAAAAAAATATGAGGGATATACTAGAATCACTTTGGGAACCACTGCTTTAGGCGAGATTGCAAAGCTAGCGAGAGGAGTATAGAGATGGTGGGGGGGAGATAAAGATTAACAAATTGAAGTAGAGAGGCTGGTAGATATAAACCGAGGTAGCGTAATGATAATGAGATTGGAAAACGAAAACAGAAAACTGAGTTCAAAATTCATTTTAGACGAGTTATATATTTTCAAGCATTAATGCCATCGATGACATTGTAATCAAAAAGGAGGAACTGGTTACAGCTATGGATGACAAAAATATTTGAAAAAAAATGGTTTGACGTTTTCGTTTATATCATATCGATAGAACCTTGTAAACATCAATTTTCTAAGAATCAAGGTTTCCGTTTAAGTTATTGAATAGCGTTTATTCTCATCTCGGGAAATATTAAGGTTTCTTTTCTTTTCTTTTGCGTGTAATTTCCTTATGCCCTTTTCAAGAGTGACCATTGTACGTTATTTTGGATCTTTTCTGCTAATTCACCCCCCAAATAAAAAGAATTTATAATTACTAAGATTCACACCAAATTCTCCCAGAGCGAGATCCTTCCATTACATTTCGGTTGGGATGACCTTTGCGATCGCACCAGATGTGGGCGACTCGGGTGCGCTAGTTCTAATTATGGGGTCTACGTTCGCGCTCACCCCGACAAATAAGCCAAAACAGATTTTATTTTATTTTTATTCTAAATTATAAAAAAAATTCCTTGTAAGAAACCGAATATCATCCGTATTTACAAAATGTCAATAACTTCCTGATTTTTTGGTAATTTTTCAATCTCACGGTTGGAGACGAGGCAAGCTAAACAAATTTGGATTTAAAATTTATAATTGCAAAAGAGGGCAATAATTTAATAAAAAAACAAACTTTGATTTAAAATTTATATTTTCTTGTGGCAAATTAATATTTGCGATATTTAACTTTACATTATTTAGAATGAATTAACAGACAAGATCTGTTGTTTTTAGAACGTAGTTAATTTACATAAAATGTCTGCATTGGTTTCATTCGTTCATTGGCTAGTTTTTCTTTCATCTTATTTTACTGTTTATTTACTCTTAGTAAATAATTAGTACATGTAATAGTGTTAACACTTATTAAAAGAAACTTTATCATTATTATTAAATTTAACAAAATCAAGAAAACGTACTTACCAATTCTAGTCGCAATGCTCGTGGCCATAGGACTGTCCGGAACTGGTTTCTGATTCTTTAATTGTTTATGATGAAACTCGCGTACATTGATGATCTTTACAATTCCAAGAGGGTCGTTTTTAACAAACACTTCATATTCGTCGGCCCTTGCCATGTCCAAGTCTGTGACGACTGCTGATATCTTCTGGAAACGCTGGAAATAATCAGAAAATGTCCGAATTTTAGCATCTAGCGTTCTAATCTCGTAAAATATTCACAGCTACCGTGAATTTCTGAACAGCAAGAAATAATAAAACACGTCCATTACTCAGTGCCGTATGGGAAAAATTGATCATCACGCGTTGCTGTACCATCCCTATATATATATATATATATATATATATATATATATATATATATATATATATATATATATATCGGAGCTCTGGGTGTTTACTTCAATGTCCACTATATTTTTTACATATAAGTACAGACGATCTTTAAGATCCATCTGAAGAGATGAATATATTTTTGCATGTTCATGAAATAAATTATAACCGAATGGATTTTAAAATGTTGTCTCTACTTATTATTATTATTATTATTATTATTATTATTATTATTATTATTATTATTATATTACTCTTTTCTTATATTGAACTCTCTTTGGATTGATGTCCTCCTTAGAATTATCCCTACTAATTATCTATATATATATATATATATAGTCTTAATAAAATTGTAGAATGGACGAAGACGCGCATCGAAGGCAAGATACGAAATGCCACAAGATGCACATATGCGTCGCCTGCCACTGAATATATTAAACTTAATATACATATATTACCTGCAACGTATTCCGTATAAATATTTAAGCGTTGTCATCAATAATGTTTTCTGTGCTTAAAATTCCCGCTGGTCAAAGCTATTATAAATTAATCGAAGCTTATTCGTTACAATTTTTATTTTAATTAAAATTTGAAAAAATATTATCTCCTGAGATTCTTTAGTTTTTATTTCTCTTCGCTTTACTTTAGATTGTGATCCCGACATTTTTTTCTTTCTCTCGTTTCATAATAAATTTATAAATCCCTTAAAACCGCTAAAAATATACAAAAATTGAGGAACTTAAAAAAACTATATTAAAAACTATATAACTACATATATATTTCATCTTTACTTTCTAGTGGTATAATTTAGAGAGAGATATGAAACACACTGTAACTTCATAGTCTGTTCTCCTAAAATGTGTATTTGCGCGACAGTGAACGCAACGTCCTGAGGCGGGAATTTAACTCGGCGCGTCAATCCCACATTATGTACCAATAACTGTTACGCCAGGCTTTCATACATGGGAATGGACACTGGAAGAAAATCGGCAGAATATTTTTTAAAATGGTTTTAGCTATGAGGGTAATCAAATTATCACATTTAATAAACCTCGCCAATATAAAGATGTAACTTGTACGAAGAAAGGCATGAAACTAGATTTCTAAACATTAATTTTTGGTCATAAACATAGGGCTACATTGAATGAACTACATTTCTTTCAACCAACCCGACTTAGAAGACAAAAGTAGGTGGTGGAATAAGTCTTATATTTAGCATTCTAGGTAGTGAATTACAGTGAGACCCCCGGTTTTCGCGGGGGTTAGCGACCAGAACCGACCACGAATTGTTAGGATCCGGGAATACTTGTAACCCCACTAAAAGTGTTTATAAGTACCTATTTTGATTGTTACAACCTCATATGCCTTAAACTTTCATCCTAAACACTTTAGAAACATTTCAGACCCTTTTTAAAACATTTTTGAAAAATTAGTATCCGTGACCATACACTTAGCGTAAATTTCCTTTCATACGTACAATAACCATTTTTAATTACGCATAAATCTATACAACGATTGAAAATACTGTATAAAATATGTGTAACAAGAAATAAAATATAAAGTTTAAAACATTTAAAAACAGAACTGTGATGATACCCCCAGACTTAGCATAAACCAATTTTAAGACCCCAACCGCAGCCCCTAACAAAGAACAAAGCCCAAGCACTATGCGTGTTTTTGTGTTTGATTTTTACAATGAAGATGTACAATTCTGCCAGTTTTTACCATAAAAATGAACTTATTTCGTAGAGTAAAAACGTTAAAACTAACCGTGCGAAGATAGCTTGGGAGTAGAATCTCTGACTGATGCCAAAGCGGTCGGGTTTCGATCCTGGCTTGAAATATTCAGATTTCTTGCCACACTAATGAGCTATGATGGAGCGTAAAAATCTGTCTGAAGATGACTCTCTCTCTCTCTTCTTCCCACCTCTTTTCCTCACTTACATATTTTTCTCACTTTCCTCACTCTCTCGCCTCCACCTTCCACATACATGCACCCTCTCACTTCCGGTGATCTGGTATATTGGAGTATTTTTCTTTGACTTGTATATTCTTCCACTTGCCGGAAGACACCTTACGGTCGAAACCAGACTTAGCTTAGTTGGTTGTATTTTAGCCTTCCTTTAAATATGTTAACTCTACAAATTCAATTTGAATTTTGTATTGAGTACTTTTTTTTAGGCGCGGCTGTTTTCAGTCTTCCTTTTAACATTTCTACCCGTATATATATATATATATATATATATATATATATATATATATATATATATATATATATATATGAATAAGTCCGTAGCCTGATAGTGAAAAAAATATATTACGCATGAAATATTTTTAAAAAACAATCTCCTACATTGTTAAAGCACTTATGTATTTCAACAAACAGTATTCCTTGAATTCCATCCATCGTTAACTATACAACCCTATGAAAACATCATTTTTTTTATTTGGTTCCATTTTCGGACCGAGAATATTTCAGCACACACTCATCTACAGTGGTGATTAACAAATTAGCAACCTAGCCAAAAAATAAATAAAAATCAATTTACTTGAGTTTTTTATACTAAGATTTTGTGCAATTTTAGTTTGCCTTCAATAAACAAATGCCGTTAATTCCACGTTTCTTTTACTGTCTCATAAATTTTGTCTGCCTCATTTTCAGTGTCACAAAGCTTCACGTTAATACGATAGCTTACATTCCAAGGCCGAACAATTAGTACATGGCTGAATATTTACAGTTTCTTCGTGCAACATGTATCTCACGAGATATCATGCTAAAATAGACTTGCACTCGGTTGCATCTGGAGGCAACACCACTGGAAAAAAAAGCCGCATGAAAGATATATAAACCTCAAGAAACAGGTAGACAGTCTCTCATACATCGTATAAGAGAATGTAAGGTCCAGGTTTCAGATGAGGGACAGGCTGATACACATTGGCCGACACTAATTAACGATGTGCCAGTGTAAAATAAAATATAATGCTCCATATAAGACATTTAAGTCTATTTAAAATGTACGACGTTCGTTTATTAAATCATTAAAAATTTAACAAATCTTTTTTTTTTTTTTATTGCCGAGGTGATTCATTCTTGTTCCTCAGTATATCTATCTATGGATGTCCGAGGTGTTGCAATAGATAACGACTCGGAACGGAAGATCGGAGAGCCGATTTCGAATCCTAGTGGGATTCGTTGCATTCACTTTCGAGCGAATATCATTGAGAAAGTTATGAACCCATTACTTCTCCCCCAGCAATTGGTTGTATAGCAAAACAGACTTGGGCTTATATCATTGGTTGGCTACCAATCTACCGTAGAAAGAAAAAGACAGCCTACTTCGCGAAATCTTCTGCCTCGTCATTCATGAACTGAAAATGTCATGAACGGTCAAACGTGTATCATGTGTGCACTTGATTTTTTTTGACTCTCTTTCTCCTCCTCTAACACGCACACACACATCAATATATATATATATATATATATATATATATATATATATATATATATATACAGAGAGAGAGAGAGAGAGAGAATCAAATTTGTAAATGGAAGGGATAATACAAGTAAGTCTTTTATTATAAAATATTAAAACGATACATCCATAAACAGAGCTCAATATAAAGTATAGAGAACAAAATTTTATAAAATTTTATATATATATATATATATATATATATATATATATATATATATATATATATATATATATATATATATATATATATATATATATATATATATATATATATATATATATATATATATATTAAATTCACCTTCGTCTCTTCTCTTAGGGGTAGAATCCCTGACTGACGCCAATTCAGTCGGGTTTCGATCCCAGCTAGAGGCAACCGGACGTCTATCATACTGATGAGCTGTGATACAGCGAAACTGTCTATGGTTCACAATATATATACCGTTCCACTCAAACAGCTTTTTCTCACGAACCACTGCACTGTAGAATTGACACTCAAGTGGATGTTTCCCCAATTACTACAAAACCTGTTCAAGTCTAGGGTTAGCCGTTACCTTCTTCTCCTATCGTAAAACTGCCTCCTTACATAATCATCTACCTCGAGTGACCCCCGGGCCTTGTACTTTACACACATATATATATATATATATATATCCAAGTATATGATTGGTGTATACGGAATAAATTCCAACAACCAACAATTACTATTCTTAAAAGAGTGCTCAATACAGATTAGAACGAATATAATTATTTATTTAAAAATTGGAACATAAATATGTTATAAAATCACTACAAAAATAGCCATCCTGTTTCAACACCTCTGGTGTTCTATCAAGTGTTGAACAACATCATCACTTGATAAGACACCAGAGTCTATTTTTGTAGTGATTTTATAAGATATTTATCTTATAATTTTTAAATAAATAATTATATATATATATATATATATATATATATATAAAATGTGTGTATGAAAAGTACTGATTTGGTGTTTACGTGTTGATAACTCTCAATAAACAGAAATAGCAATTCTTTTTTAAGGATACTCTGTATTTAGATAAAACAAATGTTGTTCATTCATTCTGGAAATGATCTTTTCTGCTTACTTGTTCGTTCCATTGTTTGATTTCTGAAAGCGAGGCTGGTTACGTCCACAGGGAAGAGACAAGCGAAAATCGAGGTTAAGATACGAGCGATGGCTACTTGTCCTTTGATTTGTCTCGAAATAAATCCTGAACGATAAAAAAAGATGGTTAAGTTTTTCTATTTTCCTTCCTCTTCATCTCTTAATGCCATTTCTCTCTTTTCTCCCCCAACTTGCGACCTTCTATCTCTGTTTGCTTCACAAAGATACCGCCATTGGTAATAGAAGAAATATCAGTGGCGATTTTGAATGGATTTCTAAGGCACGCTTACAAAATTCTTACTTAAATGTCTTACCACTCATTTATTTTTTACTGTTCTTTTATTGTTCTCTCCCCTTAATATAGTTTTCGATTTGTCATATTTTCTCACACTCAGTAACTCCTTGTCTTAGTGGATTTATTACCTTGATTGAAGATGAAATGATTAATAAAGATAATCGAAATCACTATCAAGTGTCCTGTTACCAATTCAGGTTGTCCACAGACATCACATGTACTGCAGATATAGCAGTAGTGGGAATGTCTAGGTAAAAAAACATAAGTACAGACGGCCATGCTACTTAACCTCTAGATGAAGAAAGATGGATTCATGCCTTTTGGAAAAGTATTTGTTATAACTGAACGAAACAGATTCGGTCAGAATTTGAACTTGGCGCGCTGATTTTACTTTCGACGCCGATACCCATCACGCGACCCGCACATCCACTGACGTAATGATTGTCATAAATGATATCATTATTTGTGTATGGATCGGTAGTTCTGTCGAGGATCGGGGCATCGGTGTACCTCTTTCTGGTATAAAAGGGTTGCCTCCAGACCTCTCAATCTCGGATCACAGACATAATGTAGCTATCTACCTCTCCGTTTATTTTCATATGACAACAGAACTAGGGAAAGCAAGAGAGAGGACAAAGGGGAAAATTAAAGCCTAAGGGAGAAATAATAGAATTTGGATTAGAAAGTTAACAGAAAAACGAAAAGAAAAGATAAGAAAAGTAAAGAGGGGAAAAGGAAAGTGGGAAAAAGGAAAGAGGGGAAAAGGAAAAAAGGAAAAGTAAAGAGGGGGAAAGAAAGAGAGCAAAAGAGAGAAGAAAAGAAAAGAGAGTAAAAGGAAAGAGGGAAAAGAAAAAGAGAGGAAAAGTAAGGGGGGGAAGAAGGGAAAAAGGAAAGAGAGGAAAAGGAAAAAGCGGAAAAGAAAAGAGAAAAGCGAGGAAAAGAAAAGCACCAAGGAATCTGTTACAGAATGCGTTTGTTTTTGTTGGTTTTGTTTTTACTTTTAATGATTATCTCCGATTTTGATATATATATATATATATATATATATATATATATATATATATATATATATATATATATATATATATTATCCGGCCTTCAGGTGTATATTGCATCAGAAATTATTCTCAGATAATGCTCTTGGGTCCGCAAGAGTTATATATTTTTTTGTATTAATAAGCAAAAATGCAGGGTAGGGAGAAATATGGGTGGCATTCAAGAACTATTGGATGAAAATATGCACGTAAGGTAGACTGATAAACACATCAGCTGATACTCTTTGATACATAGGTCGAAATAGGAATCTGACACTCCCGAGAGCCACAGGAGTTTTTTTTTTTTTTTTTGTCTTTTTACAATTAGTTTTACTCTATACAAGATCTGAGAGCAACTCAAGGTAGAGGATTACAGAGTAAGTGGCACAGTTTATGCGGATATATGGGAAACATAGCACTATTTACATTATTCAGACTATAAACAATACCTATTATAGCAAATGACCATTTTATTAGTAGTTAAAGACATAAATTCAACTAACCAACTAACCAACATAAAATAACTCTTTCATGACATTAATCCATGTAATATCCTATCATTTCATAAAGAAACTGTATTCCAAAATATGACTTCAAAATAAAACACGCATATCACCGCCTCTAGTAATCATGTCCACACAAACATGTATATGCACGAAAGCGGAGTATCATCTACCATGTATTCAATTGTGAAAGCAGAATAGCATACTTTTATTACTTCAAAGCTCCCAATAAAATTAAATTCCGAAATGAACCATAAGGAGTGGATATACCGTTATAAGGATATAAGGACATAAGGACGTTATAAGGATATAAGGACATAAGGAGTGGATATAACGTTATAAGGATATAAGGACATAAGGAGTGGATATACCGTTATAAGGATATAAGGACATAAGGATGTTATAAGGATATAAGGACATAAGGAGTAGATATACCGTTATAAGGATATAAGTACATAAGGAGTGGATATACCGTTATAAGGATATAAGGACATAAGGAGTGGATATACCGTTAAACAAACAAATAAAAATGAATTCTTTCTTTCCTGTCAACAATGACATTCAAAAATTAAAATGCATAGTCGATCGTTATCTTCTGTCTCCATGAATCCTCTTCTTTTTTAATGCCTTTCTTCTCAGTAATTTTTTTTCAGTTTTCTTCATTATCAGCAACCAGTTGCATCTTAGTGATTTTATCGACTTGCTTGGGTTTGGTGGAGTAATGGATAGATTGAGGAATCGGGGAGCCGAGTTCGAATTCCAGTCTAATCCATTACATTCACTTACGTGCTAATACCCTTGAGAAAGCTATGAATCCTCTTCTTCTCCCCCCCACCCCGCCAGCTATTGATAAATAGCAGGATAGACTGGGTTCTATAGCCTTGGAAAGCAACTGGTCTACTGCAAAAAGAAATGGCAACCTACTGCGGGAAATTCTGCCTCATCAGTCATGTATCAAAAGATAGATGATCGCCTAAGCGTGTATCACGCATGACACAAAATTGACTTGGCTTGAAATTAGTAGAACATAAATGCTAGTTAATGACTTAATAATGTAACTTTTCCAATAACGCATATAATTGCTGTATATTTGTGAAACTGTTTTGTATATTTTTGTGTATTTACGCGTTTTTGTCCCCCAGTTCGCTCTTGCATATTGAGTGGGTGTGTGGTTAAAAGCATCTGATGTTTAATTTTGCCGTGTGGCGAACGCATTAACCCTATTTTTGAAGTGGAATGGGGGCAATCTCTTAACCCTTTACATTGTCGTCGCATTGTTTGTCGATGTTACACCTTACAACATCGTTAATGGCCAAAATGCCTCTTAAATATCAAACGGCGTGCCTGAGTAATTAATAGCGCATACAACACTTATCGGTGCAAAGAAGCATACAATGAGTCGACGAAAGGAAAAAGGAGCGGCCTTAAATCGTCTTTAATTTAATTTACTTACTAATATATATTGATATATATATATATATATATATATATATATATATATATATATATATATATAGAGAGAGAGAGAGATAGATGATGGATAGATAGATAGATAGATAGATAGATAGATAGATAGAGAATGAGAGCGATTACGAAGTGGCCAAAGAAGCCCGTAACCTAACACTGATATTAAATAGATTTGGATGTGGGATCTTCACTGTAGAAAGTCAATTAATATGAATTAATGGGGTAGTTTTGTTAAGTGCATTAGCAAAAAAAAAAAAAGAGAGATATTATGTTGCAAAATAATTGATTGTTTTTTGAGTAAAGTAATATTCTCTTAAATCATTATCTATTATATATATATATATATATATATATATATATATATATACACACACACACACACACACACACACACACACACATATATATATATATATATATATATATATATATATATATATAGTATGATTAGGCAGCGATACTACTTTTATACAAGTTTCGTTAAAAAAGACTGACAGCGTGTTGCGGTTAAGATATTTTTATTTAAATTTTGGAGTTTATATTTAGCTGTTGGTATTTGTCGTAAAACAAGGTTATTTTTTCCAGGATGTTGTAGTGTTACTTTCCTTGTTGGCTGTCAGGTCATGTAATTTAATAATTGTGGATTTGGGCGACAATCCCTCTTTTATGCAAGCTTCCTTAAAACAATTGGCAAGATACTGAGTTAATTTTTTTGTTTATTTAAATGTTTAAATTACCCGTTTTTAATGATATATATATATATATATATATATATATATATATATATATATATATATATATATATATATATATATATATATATATATATATATATATATATATAGGAAATGGATTAAATCCGACAAATATTTAATATATTTTTTTTCTGTTTATAAGTTATTTTTTATAGCGTGCTATATCTATCCTCTGTGGCTGAACGGTTATAGCACGCCAGATTTAATGGTGGTTCTTCATAGGGTGAAGGTTCGATTCCTGCTGTGGAATGCATGTTTCTACGAAATTTCTAATATTCAGGCCGGTAAATATAATTTATAGTGTTTAATTAAAAAAAAGCAGAGCATTTGCTTAAATAAGTGTATCCATAAAAAATAACGTATAAATAGATTATATATATATGTGTGTGTGAAATATATGATATACAAATATTTATGTAATATACGAGGTTAAGTGAAAAATTATTCTCATTTTGCCATAACATATCTTTAGGTTTGTCACACTACTTTCTGCCCATGCGCGCTTATAACTGGTTCTATTGTAAACACATAATCGAAGTTTGGGCCTGATCACGCCAGTTTTCTTGTTGCTGTTACATTGTAAACATGGCCGCTTCGCTCGCAGCGTGCCCCAAAGTGAAATAAAAAGCAGTGTCCCGATTTCTCTGATCAGAATCTGTGTCAGGCCTGAATTTCATAGGAAACCTTTAACACGATATATCAACTGTACCGCGTAGAAATGTGTATTAGTGTATCGTGAAGTTTAAAAATATCCGGACAAGCGTGTCGCACGAAGGAGCTGAACACCCGTCATTATCCTGACGAGAAGATTCAGTAAGCTCGAGGGATGTTAATGACGAACTGGTGAGCTATAATCGATGAGGTAGCATGTTATCTGCAGACTCGGATTAATGCTTTTTCTTCCTCCTTGTTGCACACTGATAGCAAAGCGGCCACGTTTACACTGTAACAGCAGAAAGAAAACTAGTGCCATCTACAAACACACATGAGCAGAAAGCAGTGTGGCCAACCTAAACATATGTTATGACGAAAGTTCGGAGAATTTTTTACTTTTTTTTTTTTACAGCGAGGTTCATCCTTTACAAGGCCCGGTGGCCACTCGAGGTAGAGAATTAAGTTTGGAGATCATTAGTATGTATAGGAGTGGAAGATAATGGTTAACTCTGGCCTTAAGCAGGTTAAGATCATAGTGCTCGAAGAAACATACGGGATTACGGAGGGAATGTGGGTTGTTTGCTACTAGGTAAGTGGCATGGCGTGTTCTTACTGTGAATGTTTTCTTCGGGCAGGACCAGGGAATGTAATTCGACCGAGAACCTTACGTGGAAGTAGCGGTAGAGCGGCGAGTTGCTTGCCACATCCCGCCTGTGGGAGAGAGGTTGAAGGGTGGCGAATAATTCGTCACCCAAAATGGATTGGAGACGCTTTTGAACTCAAGGCTAGAGAATGAGGTCTGGGCCGCACCCGCCCAGATATGACAAGAGTTCTTCATTTTTGTCCTGGTTTGGCTCTTGTAAATTTAGCGGATATCAGGAGGATTCAGGTACACACTGGAGCAGTACAGAGAGCCGACCATTTTACCTGCATCTTTAGCAATGGATTGTATGTACCAGTTCCACTTCAGGTGAGATGGGAGTTTAAGGCCCAACAGTCTTTCAAGGCATAGTGCTTCCCCGAGAGGGCCCCGTTCATCCTGATTGATGTAAGTTCGGGTAGAATCGGCGATAATAGAATTTAACTACCTTGGTTTTCGATACATTGAATGTAACCAGTCAGTTTTTACCCCATTAGGTTGTTTGTGTAAGATCGCCAATCTCTGACCATCGTGTGTTTCAGAGGTGTAGTCGTATATAGTCGTATCATCAACTTAGATGTTTACAAATGATCTGAGTACATTGCTGGTCCGATGAGTGACCCCTGCAGACACCAGCGTTGAACTATAGGAAGACTCCAGAATATTGTCCATTGATAGCTACCTTCATGGACCTACCTGATAGGAAGTATTTTATAATCGAGAAAACCGTTCAGATGATTCCATGACTGGAGAGCTTGTGTAGTAAGCCTTTGTACCACACCTTGTCGAAGGCATTTGAGATATCTGCTGCTATGGTTCGTGAGGTGTGTTTGTCTTCAAGAGCCTCACTGATTCTCGGTGGTGGATGGGACCGACCGAAACACATACATCGTCACTGAAGTGA